AATCTTGAGGTCATGGGGCATCCCCTGACCTAGATTTCTCTCTCCGTCATTGGCTGAATCGCAAATTAATGTCTACAGTTCAAAATAGTCATTTTGACTGACCAGAGTCTATGGGGGTATGAACTACGGTATGTGAATAGGCGGGTTGAAAACCCTCTGCCTAATTTTGATTGTTCGACCGAATGAAAATGACATGATCATGGTAAAAATTGTCATGTCATAGTGGGCTTTCTGGGGGTAGTTATTGCAACATTGCCCTAGGCTTGATTCATCAACTCTGATATTGTGTGATGTGATGATTGTATGAATTGTCACCTAAATGTATATGGTTTGAACATTTGGCTGGGTTTAGTAGCTAAGTTGGAAGTGTATTTTGTTCACTCTTGTCTTTGACTCTCAATTAAATATTCTTGTATCTTCAGATGACACTTGGGAAGTAACTGATGCTGTAGAAGAGACAGTGGGTGATGTGGCTGAAAAACCCAAAAAACCTGAATCACCTGACCAGTCACCTGACAAAAAGGAAATAGATACTGAGAAGCTGGAAACCAAAGATGTTGTGAACCAGGATGAGGTTACTATAAAAACAAAAGAACACTTGGAAGAGAATATAGGCACAGAAACTAAGAAGGAGGAACAAAATAATGCGGCTTTCAAAAGTGAAAAGGACGATACTGCCAAAAAAACTGAGGACTCTGTGGAGGATACACAAACAGCGCAGGAAGCCAAGGAACATATTGAGGGTGGACAAGAGCCTGATAAAACTGAACCTGATAAAACCGAACCTGATAAAACCGAGTTGCTCACAGGGGAGAAAGCCTTGGAGGTGAACAAAGACAAAGAATCAACTACATCCGAGGGGAGTAGTATAGAAGAGCTGAGGTTTAGTGATGATAGTAGTAAAGAAAAGGATGAAGCAGATAAGACTGTGTTACCAGTACAGAAAGATGGCAGTGGTATGTCCTCTCCAGTGCAGTCTGATAATGGTGCTAGTAAGGGTGAGTCTTGTAGTACTGTAAAAGGATTAATTTAATTTTGCTTATTTCGCTGATTGGAAAGTGCACTAAATTGAAACCCAGTAAATATGTAAAATTTAGCATTAGAACACATTATCTGAATGATAAAACCGTGAATTTTAAAACCCACTGAATATGCCTAAAATGGTACATCAGTGAAGTTTAAACCCAGTGAAAATTATTCATTAAGTTTTATGGTTGAACAATTTCTACAATGGTGGATGGGGGCGTTGGCTGGATAGAGAGGCAAGGTGACAACCATTTTTGTGAAATTCTATATAAAACAATTATTTTATGAGGGATAGATGGGGTGGCACAAAGCCCTAGGAATTGACAATGAAGTCCAAATCCAGTGGACATTATGAAAACTTGAAGTGCAAGGATGTTCTGTTGTTTTTATCAGATCTGATTCAAAATGGCCATTTTGTTTTAATGAATGCTGTTGTCATACAAAATTTTTAATAATGTGGTGTCTCGTGGTCACTGAAGTCATTCAAACTAATAGAATGAGGTTTTCTGTCTGCATTTACTGAAGAAATATTATGATCTATATGCAATGTTTTAAGCATTTTTTTAACATGCTCATGTAAAAAAAGTTGATGTATTGTTGAAATCATCACTGGCACAATGTGTTGCAATCCCTGGCTGTGATCACCGCAGATGTATACATGGTGGAATGACTTTTTGAACAAAATTAATTAATAATGATTCTTGTGCTATGTTATGCAAATCAATAGGATACATTTTAAAATTTTCTTTTGAACGTTAAAAGGATACTAACACTAGTAATTAGTTTCTCAAAATTACTGTGTGCGCAAATTACTAAAGGCCGCGAATTAGTAGAGTTTTTTTTACGATACTTATATTTTGGGAGTACCGTATTTGATAAATCCTCCTGCAACTTCTTCCCTGTAAGAAAGTACCAGGATGTGTGACCTTTTGGGGGTCATAATGCATATTGACATTGGAGTCCAAGGGAAGTCATTTATTTTAATGTTCATGTTGTATTGTTTTACAGACACCAGTAGTCTGAGTGATGATTGGGACAGAGACTTTGATATAGAAATCACAGAGCAAGATCTAAAACATGTTGCTGCTTTAGCCACAACCACAGAAGGCAACGAAGAAGATCTTGATGACTGGGAAAGTTGGGAATAATTACAACCTGCTCATCCCCACCATATAATAGTTGTGTCCTTCCAACTGAAATACCATGACTGTATTTAATATTCAGAATATACCATTATCAGATCACGGGTGGTTAAGGTATTCTGTTGAGGGTTAATATATAATATAACTTAATGTATAATATAACTTTCTATAAGGGGAAAGCTTAAATAATTATTATTATTGGCATTCAATATTTTATTCTTGCTTATATTTTAATTTTTAGAAACAAAAAATAAGCTATTTACAAAGATTTGTTGAAAGAGAAATCTTCCAGGAGTATCGCTATTGGACAAAGTTGCATGCATTATTGTAAATGTTGCCATGGTAATATTTTGATCATGTTATTAACTCTAATTATGAATACCTGTCCAAGTTTTTTTTCCTCTCACCTGATGTGTGGTTATGGCCAATAGTAAAATGTGTACTCTATAAAAGTGCGCCCTCTGTGGTGAAAATGACATCTGGTGTCTTAATTCTTTAAGCGGCAATGTCTTTTGTCATCTGTCACAAATATAAAACCTGCCTCATTGTTGTAACTTTTTTTTCAAAAAATATAATTGACTTCTAGGCGATAAATTATGTCCATTTGGGTCAAAAATTAAGAAATTATATAAAAATATTGTATCTTAAGTTTGGCGAAAAAGTATGGTATTCTAAGAATTAAAAATGTAATATAGATAGGTCACTGTATTATAATTTCTCATTAACATTCAGAGAATTACATGCAAGTTTCATTATTAAAAGTTACAGTCATTATTATTATTCTAAGAAAAATTAAATATAAACACAACATGTTTAAAGTGGGCAACCTCATAAGTTCTTGGTGAACTCAGGAGGTCCTGGGTGACCTTGGAAGTTTCTGGGTGACCTCGGAAGATACTGGGTGACCTTCAAAGCAACCAAACGACCTCGGAAGTCACTGGGGGACGTTGACAGCCTCTGGGAGACCTTGGAATTTTCTGGGTCCTTGGGAGTTTCTGGATGGTCCTGGGTGACCTCTGGGTTTTCTGGGTGACCTCTGGGTTTTCTGGATGACCTCAGGGTTTTCTGGATGACCTCGAGAATTTTTGGGTGACCTCGAAAGTTTCTGGGTGACCTCAGAATTTGCCTATCATGTCCAGCATATGGTTAGTAAAATATAAGATATATTCTCATTGTTTGGGAAAAGGTTTGAAATTGTAAATAAAATGTTTGTGTAATGCAGCTTACTTGAATCTATTTATTCCACTTGTTCGGGGGATTTTGAAATACTCCTAGTTTGTGATAAAGAATAGTCTTGATTCACTGCTACATGAATAGAGCTTGATAGATCTCACTGACCTAGTAGTTAGAACAACACAAAAACAAAATCCTGCACTGTGCATTAACTTGAGTTAAGTTTAATTATTATTTTAGCACATACATTTTAAAAAGAACTAGCTTGCATAAGCAACATCTTTCTCCGTCATTATTCATTATACCATATATGATCATTCACTAAATTTAAATATGATAATGAGCTATATTGGCCCATCCAATCACAAATTCTGTTACATATTCAAAAGCTTATCCAGTTCTATGTGGCCATTGTCAAGTCATTAGGTGTACCTGAAATATTCAATTAAATATTCACTATAAAATCTGTATTAGAAGCCATGGCTTCTATTAAAATGGTACAATGCAACAGAGAGGTTCTCAAAATGCGGCTTTCTTTAGGAATGCAACTTCCAATTACTGATGCCGCTTCCTTGAGGCATGTGACTTTTAATTATGGATGCGGCTTCCTTTAGGGATGGGTCTACTAATTATGGATGCGGCTTCCTTTAGGGATGCGACTTCTAATTACAGATGCGGCTTCCTTTAGGGATGTGACTTCTAATTATGGATGCGGCTTCCTTTAGGGATGCGTCTACTAATTACGGATGCAGCTTCCTTTAGGAATGCGACTTCTAATACAGATTTTATGGAAATAACCCTAGAGAGCAAATATCTCTTTAAATATATTAACAATGTATTTGTAGACTGACATAGCCTGCACAGAACAAATAACTCTCACTCAATTGCTTCATAAAACAACTTTAATGTTTTCTGGTGTTGGAATATAGTTATTCAGACTAATTGCTGTAAATATTGCAATGATTTCAGGGAGAATACGATGCTTTGATTCCATTAATTCATCTGCAAGGCTGACATGTCAGAATTGAGTGCCCTTAATTAAGATTTATCCAGTTAGTTCAGTGATGTAATTGTAACATGCTAATGTGTGAACGTGAAGTATACTTTTTATTCTGCGTTTCATGAACTTCGAAACATTGTAAATTGTTGTTTAAAGGGTGGTTCTCGCACAACATAAGTTTTGATATGGGTCCCATGCAACATATACGACATGTGTAACATACATATATATGTATGACGTATGCTCGTATGACGACCACCACCCTTTTAACATTAAAAAATGTTTCCACATTGACTGTTATACCAAAGCGTTTCAAGCATTATTTCTTTCAAGGTAGCTGTAATGACATGGCTACTTCAAATCAGAGTGTTGTGTGTAATGGTGAACCACTTACACTTGCGGTTGTTTCGCATTTTAAACGCAACTTAAACTTGGTATTAAAGCATTCTTAGATAGTACTTTTAAATTTCTTATTATTTTTGATGATTATCCAACTCAATTGATAAATATGTGCTGGAAATGTGTCCAGTTTCAAGAATTTTCAGAACATCCATATGTTATGGCTTCCCATTAGTATTGAAGTGCATATATTTATGTTTTAAAATTTGCTCAGAAGTAGATGTGGAATGAAACCAAGAAAAAACATTCAATGATATTTAAGTGTACATTAATATATATTCAATTTTGTTTTATCATGGATTTAAATGTAAAATAAATCTGACATGTTATCTATATTATATCATCTTAAGTTTTAAGAATGACCATTGCTTCTTGAGTGCTTTTAAGTATGTAATTTAATTTGTTTTATGCGGTAGCTTTTGTATGGTTTATTTTTTTTAGAAAGTGGGAGGATTCATTTGCAGTGGAGACTTTCTCACAATCTGCATTTTTTCTGTATCAGCACAATGAAAGAAGTTATCTAATTTTTGATGAGCCTTTCACAAATTACTTCTCCACCGCTCTGTACCGTTTTAGTTCTACTTTTTACAGTATTTCATCCACTGCGTGCGTATGATAGTGATCAAGGGATAATAAACAATGTTATTGATATTGGTTCTTGCATTCATCAGAGATAATATACTGTAAAAAGATTAATTATTCACTGGGTTTCAATTGTGTTTATTTCACTGACTAGAAAAAGCACTAAATTAAAACCGAGTGAATATGTAAAATTTAGCATAGAACACATTGTCTAAATGATAAAACCGTGAATTTAAAACTCACTGAATATGCCTGGAATGGTAAATCAGCAAAATTTAAACCCATTGAAAATTAGTCATTTTACAGTAGTCTCTCTACCTCGTTGAAAATACTTTTTATCATTTTCATTTCTAGAAATATTACATGTGCACTTGCCACACAGTCAGTCTGATACCTATCATCTCTTTTTGGGGGGTGGCCCAGGGGTAGCATGATTTACAACTACTAATAAATTGGTGTTGCTGTATTTGTTAGTCCCCGTTCGGACGGAGTCCGAAAACGGGGACTTATGTTTTGCCCTGTGTGCGTTCGTCCGTCCGTGCGTCCGTCCGTGATCACCTGTATCTCGAACATGCATGGACTGATTATGTTCAAACTTCACTCATACATCACACATTATATGGGACATATGCACATGCATTTTTTTCATGATCCGATTAACGATAGCCGAATAGCGGCCATTTTAAGGTCGAAAATGCATCAAAATCGCACATTTTCACCATTCCGGACCCGGATCTCAGTTATGCATGGCCGGATTTCGTTCAAATTTGGTACATACATTAAACATACAGGACCTTGATGCACGTCATTTTTTTTTCCCGGATCAAGTTCGAAATGGCCGACTGGCGGCCATTTTCTTAAAGAATTCAGTTCTGGATCCATATCCAAGACATGTCTGGATTGATCAAGTTCAAACTTCACACACACATGGTGCATCATGTCACAAATAGATATGTGCATTTGTTTCATGATCCGCTTAACAATAGCTGAATGATGGCCATTTTAAGACCGAAAATGCATTAAAATCACGTATTTTCACAATTCCGGAACCAGATCTCAGTCATGCATGGATGGATTTTGTTCAGATTTAGTACAATGTGTTGTACATATGCAGGTGCATTTCGGTCATGATCTGCTTTGAATGTATATGTCACTCAAATATGAACGGAACGGGGACGTGTCATTGACAATGACTTGTTGATTTGAACTCAATCTTCTACAACATGTATTTGTTATACATGATATTTATTGCCAGTTAATTAAAACTGGATTCTAATATGGATGTTTAGGTGATTTCAGTGCTTGGCAATATCAGGATTCAATTTAGTGTTAGGTGTTTTCAGGGTCCAAGTATTTTTAAAATCATCAAAAGGTCCTTTTGTTGGTCCCTGACACAGTCTGAAAACAGAGACTTGTTGTTTTCTGTCTCTGCATTTGATCCTACCTGTATTTTAAACATGCCTGGACCAATAACATTCATACATCTTGGGGTACAAAATCACATCCATTTGTTTCACAATCTGAGTCAAGATGGCCGAACGGTAGCCTTTCCTTGTGCTAAAAATGCATCAAAATAAGCTTTTTTCTGCCATTCTGAATCCGGACATCCATTTTGGTCATATTTACTTCAAACTTGTCCAGCATTATAATTGTCTTTAAAGTTGCATTTTTAGATCGTTAGATCTGTTAACAGACAATAATGAGCTCGTGTAAGCGATATATGCACTTACGGCGTGTCCGCGAGTATTGTTACGAATGCCAATTGTCAACAGTCTAGGGAGTCCGCAACACTCGTTTTTCTGTGGGAGTTGCAGACGATAAATTCAAGTTGGTGTTTTGGCTGCAGGTGTTCGAAAATGCCTTCACCACGTCCAAAGGTTAGTGATTTGTTTGTTTCTCTTTCGTGTGTTGGTGTGTGTAATACTAAATTATGTGGTTCAGAATCCTTGTCGGTAGTATTTCTTGATAGATGTGAGCGCCGTGAATCGGTGACTGATCGCGGTTTTGTAATTCGCAATGAATGAAAGTGTTTTTTATTCGATGCCTTTTCACGTTAATCCTGAATTTTCATAATGTTAAATCATTTATTGCTAAGTTAATTAAGACGCATGAAGCTCCATGCTGCACAAAACTCACCAAAGTAACTTACTGAACCAACTAACACATGCAGTAGTGGGGGAATATGTTCAGATATGCTTCATTAACAAAATATTTGCATTATAGCATCTATAATAGAGAAAATAGAATACAACATGAAGAGAAGCATCATGGGTATTCTCTAGTTAATTGCACATAAACTCCAAAATTACAAGTGGCCAAGCCACATTAAAATCGCTTTCCACCGACCATTCAACATCAACTTCCATACCAAATATTCATACTTACATTCACAATTCTGGTCGAGTATTTCAATACAAAATGTTGTAGTTTGGGTGTATTTGAAGACTGAATTTTCTGGAAATTGTGTTTAAACATGGAAGTAATTATTTTACCTCCATTAAGTTTGAGCTTAACTTTATGCCCAGAGAGAGTAACTTGCTGTTTGTGACTTTTTTTGACTGTTACATACCCATAAACATATCAGCTTGTTCTTAGGTGTATACATTTTTGTTTTCTTTTTTGGGGTGTTGCGCCCTTGTTTATTTGTTCATGGTGTTATGCTGAATATTGGCTTTAAAATTATCAGTAATAACATCTAAACCGTACAATTTTATTTTAAAGCCTATGTCAAAACACAGCATCTGCAATATAATGTTATTTATTTCCCCCCATTATGATGTTTATGTAACTATATGCATGCACTTATTATTGCTAGACTGTGCTCTGCTGAAATAGCGGAGCTATTTTGACAGTCATGTTGCTCGTGCATATCACGTTGAAATAAAGGGGTACAAATTTGATCTCTAAATACTGAACCACGGTTACCTCTTCTAGTAACCATGACTAAACTAAAGTTGTCTGACTAGATCTGGATGTGCTACTTAAAATAGAGTTCAGGAATCTGGCACCGAATATATATTTGTATTAAAAATACCATGTCCAGTATTTCCATGTGACCTGCTTATGTGAGCTAGCAGCTGTTACGTACCCGTGTTGAGATAAATTCATTGCAACCATGGTTTGTACGCTCATTTCCATGGAAACTACTATACAGCTGTAAAGGTATTCGAAATGAAAGTAATTTGATAATTCGGGCTTAATTAACTTAGCATCGCAATTTTAAATGCCCGAAAAGAGCACATTTATCTCACTGATGTGACTTGTTTATGCCTCTGTGTATTAGTGTTCTGGTGTATATTAAAGCGCGGTAGTCGTCGCGCTGCGCATGTTCGACATTTGTGTTGATAAACATTGATTTTCCCCACAATCCAATGCGATCTTAAAACAGAAATCACAAGTATGAGGTTTGACCTGGGCGCGACTTGCACTGATTACCGCCGGTGACTCCTTCGATATCTTCCAATCTCATGAAAATTGCCCAATTAAAGCTTGGAACCGTCTCAGTTTGTACTCGTTGATCTGCGCAACAGTCAAAGTCGCCATCTTTGTTTATACGAGACCAATATATCTCGCACATGCGCAGCGCGACGACTACCGCGCTTTAACGATTACTGACAGCTCTCATACCTTTTTCGTTTTACTGTAGTACATATTCATGATATTCCTACATACACATTACTTGGGTTTGACACGCGCGATGTGATGTATTTACAGCCCCTCCCTCCACAGAATCTAAAGTTTCACTTTTATTGTTTTAATTACAACTACGAAGAATTCATTCATCCTCCGTTTTTCCGGTCAGTTCATCTCCTGTGGGAATGGGGACCCGGTTGGACGGGGTGGCTGCTCTCTTATTAGGCAGCATACTGCCGTTAGAGGGCGTATCTCTATTTTGATTTGCATTTCATGTTTAGCAATGAGATAACAAGAGATAACAATGAAGTTTAAATTCAATTTAACAGCCAAAATTTGTGTCAAATCGCTTTGTGGAATAAAAAAATATTAATGCATTAGTTTCATGAATGTGTTGCGTACTGTACGATGATATGTTCGAAGTGTAAGCGTAGGACTTATGACGTGGAAATAGGGAAAACCATTAAAGTGCCGGTGCAATGCCCACCCTCACGTTTCCCATTTTAGATCTGTGTCCCACTGAAATGGGCAGTTATTGATTTTTTTGCTGAAAATGATTACTCGCATCCAAGTAAATTTGGGATATTTCTCGTGTTGTAGCCACGCCCACCTATCCTGAAACGGTCGACTGTTTCCGGATTTCCGACTCTCGCCGAAAGTGCGCCATCAAATGACAAAATGTGAGAGGAAGTCATACCCCTGAGCCGTAATAACACTGGTCATTCAGTATACTTTTAAACGATGTACATTTTTCGGTCGGCGTTTTTTCTTTTCTTTTTTTGTCTGTTTTATTTTTTGAGAGAGAGTTTTTAGATGTTGTGTTGTGGGAAGTTGCAGTGAAACGTACAGTCAATAGTGTAAGTATTCACACGTTTCGATCCGAAGGTGCGAAATCAGTGGACGAAAGCCACTTAACCTCAGATATTTTTTTTTTTTTTTTAAAACTGTCCTCGTCCATGAAAAAACAACTAGGTTTAAAGAGAAACGCAGACAACGTAAACCTGGCACAACACTTTTGAAAGAAATAGATTACGGCCCAGCCCATGATCACCGAGGCGGATTTCAGAAGAGAGAGACGTCCGGCAAGTGTTTCAAATGAGTTGACTTTTTTGCGATCCTGATTATCGTTTTATAGAGACCATTTAGTCCTTGTTAAGTAAAAAGGTAGCAATAATTTTGACAGTGACACGAAAACGAAGCGTAGGACAAACAGGAAATTACACAGCCTTACACACTGCTAATTGTTTTCATTTTCGAAGGCTAAAAGTTTCTGAATTGTTTGGTGATTGCTGTTGAACGCCGAATTCACACCTCTGTTCTTTTTTTTTACCTCTATGCTTGCAGCTTGATCTGCGTAATAATTTATGGAATAAGAATCCGGGCTTGGACAATGTGTTTCCACCAAGTAAAGTTTTAATACGATGTTATAATTAT